TCCAACTGTTACAACCAGGAGCACATTATGATCAAGCACAACTTGGAAATTGACCACCTGTTTTATTCACTAGTCTGTCACCCTTAAACCATTTGAATGAAGTTGAAATCAAGAAGCAGTCCAGAACGTGTCTGCAGTGAACAAACTTTTCAATATAGTATATTTACCATTTAATGGCTCAGACAGAGCTAGGACGCAAGACTCCTGATCTCAGTTAGCTGATGGCTGAACACCATGACGCAGACTGACCTCGGGCTGCAAGGCCCAAATTGAGTTCCCCAACCTTCTGAATGGTTGAACTCCACACCGTTCTACTACACGTTTCCCCCTGCCCTTTCTTTAAAGATGTTCAAAGTTGGGAACTCAGAAAAATACCCTTTATGACAACCTTTGCCTCTGCAGAGTGGGTCCAAAGATTGGCACAGTCAGGAGGTCTGAGAGTGCGTGGGGTGGGGGTAAAGGGAGTTATGGGGGTTCAGGGCAGGAGAAGGCATGGCTCTCCTTCCCAAGGTGAATTGGGGCCCATGCTACCTTCCTGGTGCTGGAGCAATGGTGGCTCTGGGCGGGAGAAGGTGTGGCTCTCCTTCTTGCAGTGGATCGAGTCCAGGCTACCTTCCTGGTGCTGGAGTGATGGCGGCTCAGGGTGGGAGAAGCAAGTGCAAGAAATTTTAAAAGCTTCTTCCAATATATAGTAATATGTCTTCATTGGACAGTTGAAACTGAGTTCTGCCAAAGCTAAGTGGCTGTTCCAGTATAACACAGCCAGTTTGTTAGAGTCTCTCTCTCTCTCTCTCTCACTATATATATAAATAAATAAAATAGGCTAGTATTCTATTAGATGTAATCTGTATTCGTTTTGAAATTCAGCAAGTATTTGTATCTGTTGTATGCCCAGATAATGAAATACAATAAAGTTATAAAATTAAAAGGATTCCTTCAGTTACAGAATCTGTTTTCTTCTTGGACCTGAAGATGTTCTAAATCCTTTATCTAAAACAAAACATTACATTGAATGACCATATAGGATAGACATAGATTCAGTGGCTCAATAATATAAAGTCTTGTGGTCTTTTACATTCTTAATTTTCTTACATCCATGTGGCATTGTTACTTACCAGCAAAAAAAAATTTTTTTAATTGAGGCACGGGCAAGGTCTTACTGTATTATTTAGGCTGACCTCAGACTCCTGGGCTCAAGTGTTCCTCTCATCTCAGCCTCTTGAGTAGCTGGGACGACAGGTATGCCACTAGGCCTGATTTGTACATTTTTTATATTGTTGGAAAATACACTTAAGATCATCCTTAAATTATTGCTCTGTTTTTTTGTCTTTATTTTATTTTATTTTATTTAGTACTGGGGATTGAACTCAGGTCCTTGTGCTTGTGAGTCAGGCAGTGACACTTCTGAGCTAAATCCCCAGCCCTGTTTCTTTGTCTTTAGTTGCCCTACTTGATCTATGTATGCAAATGATCTTTTAAGTCAGTTGTAGTTTTCTTTTTGTTTCCATAGTTAGGCCACCAAAGTTTTGTTGTAACAGTTTGTGTAGCAGTTATCATTCATTAAGGAATATTTAAAAAGGTTTAAAAGCAACACTGACAAGTATAATGGCCACCATAATTAGAATCACTTAGAGGCTGGGCATGGTGGCACAGGCCTGTAATCCCACCACTCAGGAGGCTGAGGCAGGAGGATTGCTGCAAGTTTGAGACCAGCCTGGGCTACACAGTGAGCTCTATAGTGGTACCACGCCTGTGCCCATTCCAGCCTCAATGGCATCAGTCTCAACTACATAATGAGAATCTGTCTCAAAAAAAAAAAAATTACTTAGGATTTCTTGAATTTTCTACATCAAAAACAAAATCACTCTTTATAGCTATTTTTGAACACTGTAGAGACAATATTGCACATTTAAAATATTTTGTAATATTCTCTTTGGGGGATGATTGTTGTGTTTATTTTCCTCTTGATTCAGAAAAATACTTGTATCATTTTGATGATTTCATTTACTCATCTTTGAAGTTAGTGTTCTAGGATTGTGATGTATGATCACAGAAAAAGCTGAGAATACATGGGAAACAAATTGGTACAATAGAAAGTTGGATATTTTGTTTTTGATCTATAGTGATTATGATCTTGAGCAGGTAATTCATATTCTTTTATATCTCAGGACTCACATTCTTTTCTCAATAAATATTTTTTTACCGTCTCCTTCATATCTCTAACCAAATCATCTTTCTGTTGTAGGCTCTTTTAATACTTGTGCTTTAAAAAAAACCTTTTTATCACTTGAAATTTGATATTTCTGTATTTACCTCTTTAAAATTTGATTTTACTGCTTGATTACACAGTTCAGGAGAGTTGGATTTACATCTGTTTTATTCATCTTATATTCCCTATCATAGCACACACTGGGACACATTATGAACAATCAATAAATGTTTTTTTTTTAATAAATTAGCTACCTGACATGTCCTAAATTATATTCTTCATTGATATAAAACTGTGCAACCGTATCTCTTTGGGAAAATATTTGAGAAAATCAGGAGAAGGCAGGTTTTTATATCACTTCCATATATGTATGAATGACTGAGTTTAAGAAATTGTGCTCTAACTTTTGTCTTTTATTTCTCACAATTGGGTGAAATTACAAGCTGGCCTAGATTGGAAAGTCCTTCTGTTAGGATGATAAGTTTTGACTCATTTCTAGTACAGTGCCTGCTACCTTGTGAATACTCAATGAATATGCAAAAACCTACACAGATTTTAATTAGTTATTTTATGAGGGACATTATAAAAACTTGGCATGTTTTCATACATTTTGAAAATTCATTTTTTATTAAGAATGACCTTTATAAATCTTGAGTTTAAGGAATAAATTATTATTTATGACTACTCAGTTATTCATCATCTTTTCAAGGTAAGACATTCGCTTGGGATCGGAACCAGTTTTGAAAGACAAATGTATATGGCCATACTGTCTTTCCAGTAAACCTTGCAACTATTTCTGTGACTACATATGTTAACATTTTTATAATTGGCTTCCAAATGACAAACACAGATGGCTGTAGTCTGAATTTTCAGCATGTTTTAGAATAAATGTTTTCTCAGTAACTTAAAGTGCATCATTTCAGAGTCAGATGGTTATCTAATGGAGTTTTTTTCTTATTTACTAGCTGTAAGAAATTGAATATGTGATACGATCTTGTTCTTTTTTCTCACATATTTATCTAATAACAGAAAGCTATTGTGATGTATTTTTCTGAGAATTTAAATTTTTTTTCAATTTTTTTCTGGATAGAGGAGGGAGATTATAGTAAGAGCTTATTTTAATGTTTTCATTTATTTAATAGATAATGATTAATTTTAATTCTGAAATCATGGATCTTTTGTTAAAGTAGAATTAGACAAATCTTCATCTTATTTTTCAAGTTTTGTGGAGCTACTTAAAAACTATTGCTCTATGGTAACTTTTCTGCAAATTACTCTTTTTATTCAACATATATTTACTAAGTATTGTTCTAGGCTTTGAATAAATAGAAGAGAACAAAAGCCTTTGCCCCTATGGAACTTACTCTTTAATAGTTCAAAAATATAATTTCATATAGGCAATATAGACTTAGAACAATGTTTTCATAATTTTGTCTTTAGAAGTGATTTATTCTAAGTACTATAATAGAACCATTCTACTTTTTATTCTTACTGTCTTTTTTCATTTGGGTTTATTTAGTCATGGATATTGTCTCAGAGTCTTTTTTAAGTAAATGTTTCATTATTTAGAGTTTTAGTTTTCTAGTTTTGTTTTAGATTTTTGGTATTGTTCATTGTTCATGTACTTACACATTGAATAAATCTTATATAATCTAACACATTTGGAATTTTAAACAAAATCTTAATTTTCGCCTTCATATATTATGCTGTCTACATGCATTCTAATGCAGACAACATATTTGAAGACATTTCTGAAATTGGATGTAAACATTGTCATTATTAATATTCTTTTGGCATTGCACTCTCTAAGAAATTTTTTAAGGCTTTTTTTAACACCTGAACTTCTGATTCTATTTACAGATAATATACTTACAAGTAGTCAAGTTAGTATATTTTTAAGGATGGATCTATTATCTTTCAGAGTAGTTTAAGTGCATTCCAACAGCTTAATAATATGCAACTAGAAGCAACTGTTCTTGCACCTGTTTCTCAAGCAGACATAAGGTGAAATAATGGGGTAGTTGCTGAATAACTGGGAAAAATTTAAGCGTTACATGTTTTTACGTTCTATAAGGCTAATGATTAGCTGTTTCTGATATATGAGTTAAATATCTACTAAGTGAATAACATTTCTACATACTTTTTTCATCTATAGGAGGTAAGTATAAAATCAACTGTTATTTAATAGACAACATGTCTGTAGCATGTTTTGATAGTTAAAAGCATTAGCATCATTGAGAAGATTGTTTTAATACTTTGCATAATAAAAATTTTTTTGGCCTTCTTTTGTTGGTCTAATTAATAGGTCTAGTAATTCTAGTAGTATATTTCCACTTTTTAAGGCATAGAAGAACTTATAGCTGGTCTCTTTTTTTTTTCTTTATCCTTTTAGCATGATTATAAGAGCTCAAATTAAGTTTAGAAATTGGTTGCTAGTGGTTATTTTATGTAAAAATTAGAGGACTGGGGATATAGCTCAGTGGTTCTGCCTCCTGCCTCGCAAGCGCAAGGTCCTGCGTTCGATCTCTGGTACCAGAAAATAAAATAAAAATTAAAAATTTATTGCATCAGAAAAGGAAATTTAAATGAGAAAAAGGAAAAATTCCCATAATCTTAAGTCCAGAAGAACACCAAAGTTATTATGGTTATAGTGTTCCAGAATTTCCCTGTGCCTATAAGTATAATGTTACTGAAATTAAAGCCAGATATATTGAATGGTGAACGCTGTGAACCCAAGATTTGCCTTGTCTTTTAAAAAAGCAAGTGTTATGTTGTGTTTTGTTTTCTTTAGCTTGCCCAGTTTCGTCAAAGAAAAGCTCAGTCTGATGGGCAGAATCCTCCTAAGAAGCAAAAAAAAAAGAGAAAAACCTCAAGCAGTAAAAATGATGTACATGGCTTGAATATTGATCAATCACAGAGTGATGAGATGTACATAAATAGTTCTCAGGGAGTAGGATCAGTCGTGACTCCTGAATCCACAATAAAGAGAACTCTGCACAGTGGAGAAGTAATCAAGCATGATCAGATCTTCTCTGTTGAAGTAAGTATGCATCCAGATTTCTAATCATAATTCTAAATGGAAAGCAGTTATGGTGAAAATTGTTGGTTTTTTTAAATTGAATTTATTGGTACATTCTAGGTAGACAGTACAGTTACATTCATTACTGGGATCTTGTTTCACCCCCTCCTCCCCTCCCCACCTTCAAACACTTTAATTCCATTTTTACATTTTCCCATATTTTTTTCCTTTTCCCTGTTCTCCTTTCCCTGTCCTTCTCACTGTTCCTACACCTTTGGTCCTTTTCTTCCTATTTCATATTGCTAATTGTCCCATTAGGATCTTGAGTACTATTTTAGTTTTCACACCAGAGAAACTATTCGTTATTTACATATGTGTGACTTATTTATTTCACTTAGGAGTATATCCTCAAAATGTACCCATTTATCTATGAATGAATCTACTTTCTCATTCTTTATGGCTGAGTAGTATTTCATTTTATAGAAAAACCACATATTTATCCAGTGAAAATAGTTATTAGTACCTCATGCAATTTGATTATGATTTTTATGTCTGCAAACATAAGTATTATAGTAACTAAACAGACCTAAAATATTTAGTAATCTTTAAGAGTGAGTATTGCAAGCTTCATTCTGCATTCATTAAACAGCTACAATATATTAACGATTGAGTACCAACAATATGTTGATAGTATTTCCCTTTAGAAAAATTAGTTTAATGGGGAAGGAAGATAAGATACACAGTGTCTTCACTTTGGTTAGAGCTGTGTTATCAGCAGTCCATATGGTACTGTAGAGGGCAAAGAATGCTCAGCTCACCTTTGTCTATGTCATCGGTGAAGGTTTCTTGGAAGTAATAGAAATGAGCCTTGGAGGTATGAGTTGGAGTTACCTTGAGGCAGAGAAGTGGGGGAAGCAATCTCTGTGTGGAAGAAAAAGGATTTGCAGAGACAGAAAACAGTGTGCTGTGATTGGATAACTAACTGTAGGTAGTTTGGTTTTCAATAGATCCCACAGTGATGGTGTAGGGTAGTAATAATGGATAGGGTCTGGAGATTGTACCTGCCCATGACCCCATAGTGGCTACTCAGTGAATGTTAATTTCTCACTACCCCTTATTCCATTGAATGAGATAATTTTCTAGGAAAAGTAAATCTGGGAGAAACTATAGATGGATTGGGATGGTTGGACCACTGAGACCAGGAAGAGAGGAGGACAGATGGCTTAGAAGGAAGAGTGTTGGACAGAACAAATGATGATTATTTGATTATGCCGTGGCATATTTATGCAGAAACTGTAAGATTTTGATATATAGGGAGTGGAGCTTTGTTCAGGAGGTCAAGGTAGTAATAAATTCATGTGCTCTTCGTCATAAGAATGAGATAGCTCCTTTCACAGAGAATGTGGAAAGAACAATGCTGGAACTCTAGAAACGGTGTGTGATGTGTAACAGTTATTCTTCAAATACAAGCAGTTCCCATCTGTCATAGTTGTGTTTTTTAAAGTTGCTACTAATGCTGACCTGGTGAATATTGAACCATTCCTACTGGGGAAAATACAGGTTAGCTTTTTTGAGCCACTCATTAAAAGTGTGTCAACCAGTAGACACATAATCTTGTTTTATGTGTCTTTCTGTTTCATGGTTATTAACATATGCTGTTGATTCATAACATTGTTCAATGTTAATATATGTATCTATATATTGTTGACTCAATACATATATTGTCAAGTTATTAATAATTTGGTTGTTTATGTATCAACAGTATATGTTAAATAAGGGACCTTGAAACAAGCATAGATAAATATGTTACTGTTTACTCCAGACAAAGCATAACACACATTTGCTGTATAAGACAACAACCTTCTCACTCTTAAACACTGAGCACTTCAGTGTTACATTTAGGGGCTAGCTTAAGAAATTGCCTATAAATAGTGCAAAAAATGTGCAAAAGGGTGGTACTAGGTAGACTATGAAAAGGACATTGGTTTACATGTTTTCTTTTCTTTTTTTAAAAATAAGATTCTTTGAAAAAGGGTAGGAAAAAAGAGAAGATTGACAGCTACTCGCGACGAGTAGGGGGCATCACAATACTCCCTGGTTTACATTTTTTGGAGTTGAAACAAGAAGGCAAAATGTTTCCTGCTTTTACCTCATATGGGAGCATATGCATTGGTGAATCACATTTTCCACTACTCTGCCCCTGCCCACAAATGACTGTGTGTGCTGCAAGTGTTGATTTTGAGATGACAAACACATTTTATAATTAGTAAATAGTGAAAATTTATTCATTTCTTAGGTGCACAGTTTGCAAATACTCTCATTTTATGATTTTTCACTTTCTCATTGCTGTCCTTTGATGCACAGTGTTTTTAATTTTGATGAAGTACAATTTAACTTTATTTTCTTCATTGCTTGTACTTTTGGTGCCATACCTACTATTCTTATGTTGTCAAGTCCAGCGTCATGAAGGCTTCAACCCAAGTTTTCTTAGCAGACTTGTTATACTTTTAGGTCTTACATTTTAGTCTGTGATCCTTTTTTTTTTAGTTAGTTTTTTTGTGCTAGAAGATAGGTAGGTATCCAGCTTCGTTCTTTTGCTTATGGATATCCAGTTGCCCCAACACCATCTGTTGACAAGACTGTTCTTTCATCCTTGAATTGTTAATGACTATAAAAGTAAGGATTTATCTAGCCTCTCACTCAAATTCTATAGAGCTATATAATTAGCCTTTGCTAGTATGGCCTAGTCTTGGTTACTGTAGCTTTGTAACACACTTTTGAAATCAGTTAATCTTCCAACTATGTTCTTTTTCAGGATCGTTCTGAATATTCTGAGTCCTTTGCATTTCTGTATCAATTTTAGGGTCAGGTTTTCCATTTCACAATAAAAGGCAGCAAGGATTGTTTTGTTTTGTTGTCTTGTTATGTCTCCCAGAATGGCCTTGAGTTCCTGGACTCAAATAGTCCTCCTGCCCACTCTTCTGAGTAAGTTGGGACCCCAGGTGGGTGGCACACAGTTGGCAGCAGGATTTTGACAAGAATTGTGTTGACTACATAGATGGATTTGGGGAATAGTGTTATCTTAACAGTCTGCCTTCCAATCTGTGAATGCATGGTATTTTAAAATTTATTTAAGCCATCTTTCATTTCTTTCAATGTTATTTTGTATTTTTCAGTGTATAACTATTGCACTTATTTTGTTAAGTGTATTCCTAAGATTTTATTGCTGTTTTATTTCTGAGCATTTTATTGGTTTTTTTGGTGCCTATTATAAATTATTTTATCTTCACTTTTTGATTACAGAAATTCCTTATTTAATGACCAAGTACCTGCAACTAGGTTGTTAAATGAATTGGTCACTGGGCTGGGGATTTAGCTCAGTGGCACTGGAGCCTGCCTCACAAGTGCAAGGTCATGAGTTGGATCCCTCTAAAAAAAAAGAATTGATCACTAAGTTAGGAATTGTATATAGTATGTACATTACAATATGCAGAACAAAGAGATGGTCAGAGGAAACTCCAACTTGATGACTTTCCTTTTATTTATGTAACTCTTATATGAAATACTGTAATGTATAATGACATAAAACTACAGTACCGTAGTGTACAGTACAATCAGCAAAAAATGTAGTACTGTCTAAACAGGGTATACAATACAGTAAAAAAGACAGGTCGCAAGTCTGAACAGTGTGCCTAGGTTATAAGTCTGAATGGTCATTAAACAGGTAGATTGTTAAAGGAGGGATATTTGTATTCATGTATATACATACATATATAACCCGATGTTTATATATTTGGCTTGTATCCTTCACCCTTACTGAACTTATACATTAGGTTGTTTTTCATGAAGCCTTTAGATTTTCTTTTTCTGTATACAAGACCCAAGTCATTTGTATTAGAGATGTTCAACTTCTTCCTTTCCAGTCTTGATGTCTTGTCCTTTTTTGCCTGATTGACATTGCTGGAACCTCCAATACAGGTTGAAAAAAATGATTAGAGGAGAATCCTTTTATCATTTCTCATATTAGGGGGAAGCATTCAGTTTCTACCTTGAGTGTTATATTATCCATATGTGTGTGTATGAATATATATGCATATATATGTATGTATATGTATATATGCATGCACTTTGTAAATGCCCTTTATCAGATTAAGTTCTTTCTCTTCCTGGTTTATTCAGTGTATTTATCATAAAGGAATATTGAGTTTTGTGAAATGTTTTTCTGTGTCTATTGAGATGAATTTAACACAAAAACTGTTACAGATTGATGATGTTAGAAAACTTGTGATTTTAGTCCTTTTAAATAATGAATTGTTTTCATGGCTTCATATACATTCTTCTTTCTAGTCTTCAGATAAGTTCATTTCAGTTGTTCCTACTTGAGGTTTACCAATTCTTCTTGCTTAGATCTATTGAGCCCCTCTAATGATTTTTTTCACTTCTTTTTATTTAATTTGTTATTTTCCTTATCAACTCCAGAACTTTTCTTCAGTTCTTTTTATAATTCCTTTCTCTTTTTGTTCTTCTCTGTTTGGTGTGGCTTAGTTCTCATAATTTTCTTCAGTTTGTGTAGACATTGTTTCCTTTAGTTACTTGACTATACAGTACAGTAATTAAAATAGCTGATTTTAAGTCTGTGTCTGTTAATTTCCATTTGTGTTTCCTTGGGGACAGTTTCTATTGACCACTGTTTTTCTTGTGTATAGGCCACATTTTCCTTTCTCTTTGTGTATAGCATAGTTGTTTTATAAACTATGCATTTTAAATAAAGCAATTCACCAACTCTGATATGTCATGTAGTTGAAGGTGCATTATTGTTCCGCTGCATCGCAAATCAGTGTTTGAGATTTTTCAGTATAGATTTAGCACTTTGAATGCAGCAACTGTTTTGTTAACTGTTCTACTCTCAGTAGCATAATTCTAATGCACAGTATGTACTTAATCATTTAATGTGGGGATTGTTTCGTGACAAGTTTTTAGATTTAAAAGAGAGCTTCATGAATTAGGAACCACTGTTACAGGCTTTTGAATAGAGGCAAGCTTGTTTCTGTTCCATCAGTTATTTCTGTTCTCAGTTGTTACTTCATAGCCGACTTGGAGCTTGATCATGAATGTTGAGTGACACTTCCTTAGGTATAAATGAGAAAGTTGACAATGATAGTTAATACTTGTTGAATGAAAGGGAAATTCTCTGGGTCATACTTTCCTTATCAGTAAAATGATATTCTTAGATTAGATGCAATGAACAATGAAAGCAATAATTTTGAAAGCCAAAAAAAATCAGTAGTCATTCCTTGACTCTACCTACTACTTCCCAGCTCAGGAATGCTTGGAAAAGCTACTGAATTCATTCACAAAATTCAAGGGATATGATGGTAAAATAAAGATTATCTTTCAAAATGCTTTGTAAGCTGCAAAGGTGTTCTTACAACACAAATTATTAGGTTATTTTCAGGTTAATACTATTTAGCATCAAGATCACATGGTTCTTTTGAAGAAATTGAAGTTTTTCTGACAACATTAATTCAAGGAGGTACAGGGATTAGAGGTATGATGTCTTATTTGGTGCCTTGGGCGTACAAATGATATATTCTGTATACAACATCCTGTGTGAAAGTTATCCTTGGAACATTTATATTTATAAATATATCTAATGATAAATTTCACATGCTTTATTTGGCCATTGTAATTCATAATTAAATGAAAATTATAAAGACTTGAATTATTTTACTAGTCTTTTGGTAGTATTTTATGTGCATTTCCTATCATAGATTAATAACGGTAATATTAGTGAAGGATGATGTTTATCAGGAAAAGATGTTGCAATTATAATTGGTTTTTACTTTTGTTTTAGCCGGAAAGTGAAATTTCAACCACAGCAGATGATTATAGCTCAGAGGTAAGACTAACATAATTTCAAATGTCATAAATCAAATTGATATTTTACATTATTGAAATTATTATTTGTACTTTATTTCTTGCAAATGGATATGCTTCTAGTGTATTTTATAAATGTAATGAAAATAATGTAATGTAAATTGCTAGAAGATTATGTTTTACTACTATATCTTTTTTCCAATTGTCAGGTAAGGTCTTAGCTGTTTGAATAACTTGGTCCTGTTTTAGTTTCTGAGAAAATGTTTGACACTGAGTTTCTATAATACATGACGATTATGAGATATCTATATTTATCACAATAAAAGTTGATATCAGATTTTCTTGAGTAATGCTTTTTATAAATGCTTCCATTATTAGATTATCATATGAACTTGTTTATTGAAATTAATATTGCATAGGATTTCATTTTAGGTGATAAACTACAAAATTGATATTGGCCTCTTTAGGAAATACCTTCTTTATGTGTGGGCAATGAATATATGCCATTTTGTTACCTTGTTTTTTTAGCTATGACTTTCATTTCTTTAATCCAGATTTAGAGGATATGGAAAAACTATTCCCTACTCTGAATGACACTAAAATATAATTATGTCTTGAGTCATCTCATTGCCACACGCAAATTGAGTAGAGTCTGGGCCCACAGTACTCTCTAGTATTTGCAGCCTTTTCCCTTCATGATGCATGAGAAGATGCACAATGAAGAGAAGGTGGTAGAGACTTTTGCCTTTCAGGCAGAATTTTCAACTCATGTCTCTCATCATTAATATCTTCTACTTCAACAAAGAAAATTTCCTTCAGGAGTTTTATCTCTACTGCTTCTGATACCTTTGATAAGCTTCTTAATGACAGCCAGACAGACCGCTGTAAGAGGGACAGTGGTAAAGTGCTGAAAGTTGGCATCATCCCTAATCCTCAGCAATGCATTCTGACTTTGATAGACACAGGCATTACCATGAACAAGACGGACTTCATAAATAATTAGGTATTGACAAGTCTGGTGCTAGAGCATTTATAGAGACTCTTCAGGCTGGTGCAGACGTCTCTATGGTTGAGCAGTTTGGTTTTGACTTTTTCTGCCTATCAAGTGGCAGCAAAAGTAGTTGTAATCACAAGGCACAATGACAGTGAAGAGTATGCCTGAGAGTCTTCTGCTGGGGCACCCTTTACTGTTCTTGCCAGCTTCTTTGAGCCTATTGACTGGGATACCAAAGTGATCCTCTACCTTAAAGAAGACCAGAGTATTTACAGGAGAAGTAGTTCAAAGAAGCGGTGAAAGCACTCGCAGTTCACAGGCTATCCTGTTACTGTTTACTTGGAGAAAGTTTGGGAGAAAGAAATCAGTGATGACAAGGCAAAAAAAGAGAAAGATGACAAAGAAGAGGAAATTAAGGATATTAAGGCAAAGCCCACAATTGAAGATGTGGGCTCAGATGAGGAGAATGACAGTGGAAAAGGATAAGAACAAGATAACAAAGGTGATTAAGGAAAAATAGATTGATCAGAAAGAACTAAATAAGACCCCATTTGTATGGGAAACCATGATGACATCATTCAGGAGTGTGAAGATTTCTACAAGAGCTTTATCAGTGACTGGGAAAAGCAGTTGGCAGTCAGACAACTTTCTGTAGAAGGTTAGTTGGAATTCAAAGTATTGCTTGCTAGTCATCCCTTGGCAAGCTTCCTTTGACCTCTTTAAGAAGAAGAACATCAGACTCCATCTGTTCTGTGTTCATCATGGACTGCTGTGATGAATTGATGTCTTCATATTTCAGCTTTATCTTTAGTATGGTTGGTTCTGAGGACCTGGTGCTGAACATTTCCCAAGAAAATGCTCCCCAAGAGCAAATTCATGAAAGATATTTGCAAAAACATTGTTAAGAAGTACCTTGAGCTCTTCTTTGAGCTAGCAGAAGATAAAGAGAAGTGCAAGAAATTTTAGGAGATGTTTTCTAAAAATATCTAAAATTTGGATCCCTGAGGATTCCAAGAACTGAAAACACCTTCTGATTTGCTGTGCTATCACATTCCTCAGTCCGGAGGTGAGGTGACTTTAATGTCACAGTATTTCCCTCATTTAAGGGTGATTCAGAAGTCCATCTGTTACATCACTGGCAATAGCAAAAAGAAGATGACTCTTTTTGTGGACCAACTACAAGAGTGGCACTTTGAGATGGTACATATAACTGGGCCGATTGGTAAGTGTTGTATTGAGCAGCTCCAGGAGTTTGATGGAGAGAGACTGATGTCAGTTAGCAAGGAAAGTCAGGAAATAACTGAAGACAAGGATGAGAAGAAAATAGAGGAAAACAACAGGAAATTTGAGAACCTCTGTAAGGTCATAAAAAAAACTGTAGGTAAGAAGGTTAAGTAAGTGACAATCTTCAATAGGCTTGCTACCTGATGACCAAAAGAACACCTAGAAAACAACCCGACTACCCCATTGGGGGCAGTGTGAATTTTGCTTAAATGAATTAGAGAAGAATTAAACTGCTGATTAGCTTTAGAATGTATTATATAGATACAAGTAGTTATAAATGGATGACATATAAATTATACTAATAACATCATAACTTAAAGGAATATCCTTTGCTTAATATATATAAACATCCATTTTATTATACTATTACTTAAAAGTAAAAACTTACAAGTGACTTGATATTAATAATTTTAAGTTAGCTCCCTGCATTCCGATAGTTTTCACTAATTACAGTAATGTGCTATCTTAAGTATTTTTTCTGTGTGTGTATTTGTGATTGAACCTGCAGCCTTTCCTTCCTGCTAGGCAAGCACTTCATTATTGAACTACATCTCTGGCTCTTCAGCTTTGTTTTTCAAAAATAACCCAACTCGATAAAGAACTCTCTCTATATAATTAGATCTGTCTTTCTTCCTCTCTTCCCCTTCCCTTTTCTCTTCCCCTTCCCCTTCCTCTTTTCTTTCCCCTTCCCTTTTTTGAACCAGGGATTGAACTAGGGCCTTGTGCACACCAGACAGGTACTCTGCTACTGAGCTATGAAGTTTTATGGCCCATATGGATCTAATCCTAATTCTGGGTTATTCTATCCTATGTATTTTTACAGTAACAGTTTCATTACCTCTGATTCTGTTACAGAGTTGTAGTAATTAAGATATGGGCAGGGGTGGAATTGGTTTTTGCACTATCAGTGGGAAAGAGGGAATTAAGTAGATTAATTGAGCTGGAATTAATTTCCCACTAGGTAAACATGTAGACATATTCTGCCATCCTTCTTTCTCTTCCTGTAAAATACCTACTGTAGAGACAGTGGTGATATGTTAAAGAAAGCCTCCTCATCTGTCAGAGTTGACATGAATATCAGTAGTACTGTCTCCAGAAGAAAATTGTTAGGGAAGTGTTTTTCACCTCTTTATGTTCCTTACTTTTGCTTGGCTTGCTTATCAGCCTCTAAGAAAATTGTATCAGTAAATAGTTTTACTTGAAAATGAATAAGGTGTAATAAAAAAAAACTGTTTAAATGATGTTAAGAAAGCATTTCATAGAAAAGGATCTAGTAACTTGTAATTACAGTTATCCTTCTAAATACCAAATAGAAACTACACTTTTTTTGTTTTTGTTGTTGTTTGTTTTGAGACAGGGTCTCACTGTGTAGTTGAGGCTGACCTAGAACTCACTATGTAGCCCAGGCTGGTCTCGAACTCACAGCAATCCTCTTGCCTCATTCCTGAGTGCGGGTTTTTTTGTTTTTGTTGTTGTTTGTTTTGAGACAGGGTCTCACTGTGTAGTTGAGGCTGACCTAGAACTCACTATGTAGCCCAGGCTGGTCTCGAACTCACAGCAATCCTCTTGCCTCATCCTCCTGAGTGCGGGCATTATAGGCATGTGCCACCTTGCCCGGTTTAGAAATTACACTTAGAACTTTACTTAAATTTAAGTCTCTAGTGTCTTTTGTATTAAAAGCCCTCATGTTTGAGGAATGATTAGCATTTGAAATGGTCATGATGTCTTTTTTTTTTAGATACTTCATCTCTAATTATGTATCTGTTTTTGTCAATAGAACATTTTCTCTAGATGTAAAAGATGCAGACACATTAGTAGAAATAATGTTGTTAGATAAATAAAGTTCTGTCTAAGATCATAATATATCAGGAAATTGTTTTTATACAGGTAAATGGTTGCAGTTTTTTGGTGAAAACAGGAAAGCCTACAAATTTATTAAGGGTACAGTATTCGAAGCTACTCATAATACTAATGTTTTATACTATTTAAGACCATCTGGCTTACTAACAATTTTTTCTCCTGCATGAACTTCTTTCTGTGTGTGATATTTCAGTGCTTTCAATTTTTAACAAGTTAGCCACTTTTTATTGTAATGCTAAAAACAAAATTTGCAGATACCCTGTTCATGCTCATAAGGTACAGACCACATGTACAACAAAGTACATTGCCATAGCAGCAAATTTCCAGGAGATGAGTGATGTTTTAAAGTGAACTTTGTTATAGAATTCAATATTTGAATCACTCTCTGAGGAATGTTGTGATTACTAAATTATTTAAAATCTTGGATTCATTTAGGAAGAAGAATTTGGTGTTGATGATTCTTATTCTGAACAAGGTACACAATATAGTCAGACCCATCTAGAAATGATGGAAAATGAATTGGCTGGGAAACAGCATGAGATTGAAGAGCTAAACAAAGAACTAGAAGAAATGAGAGCCACCTATGGGACTGAAGGACTGCAGCAGGTACCTTCTGTGGCTTTTGGTTTGCTACTCAGCCAGAAATGGGAAATTTGAATTATAATATCTGTATATACTTTAAAGATGAGATTTTTAAATGGTTACTTAGGGTTATCTCATAATTTTTGTGCTTACAATATAGCATGAACAAACCTATTTAAAACTAGGGTCCACTAAGATGACTAAAACAGGTGTATTTCTAATATTTAATTTCATATGATAGCTACAGTGAAATCACTTCAACAGGACAGATGTTTTTCTAGTCAGCTTGAAAGAAAATTATAGTGCCCCTATAAAAACTTATAACTTAAACCCATCAAGAGTGTCACCGATCCCTTATAAGTAATGTCTAGTTAGAGTAACATCTGATGTCTAGAACAATCAGTTATGAAATCCAGATGAAATGGGACATTTGATAAAGATGAACAGTGTATTTCCATTTTATCCTCTTTAGAAACAATTTGGAATTAAATATATCTGGTGATGCTCCCTCTGGACAGATTAGGGGTACCCTACAATGTAATGACTCACTGTTCTGAAAATATAAGTGTATAGAAAAACCAGACCAAGTGGTTTTTTTTTTCCTTAGTGCAAATAAATATTTTCAAAGTTGATTTGGAAGCAGAGCCAACTTCCACAAGATAATAGCTTTCTAATATGGAGATTGCTTACAGATTGTAAGAATTCTGCCATTGTGTTTTAAATCTCATATTTTTGAAGAACAGTTACCTGTGATAATAATTCTGCTTAAAAAAATAAGCCTAGCATTTAATTCTCTTCCTGGTTTCCTTTAGTTACAAGAGTTTGAAGCTGCCATTAAACAAAGAGATGGCATCATAACCCAGCTTACTGCTAATTTACAGCAAGCAAGAAGAGAAAAGGATGAGACAATGAGAGAGTTTTTAGAGTTGACAAAGCAGAGTCAAAAATTACAGATTCAGTTCCAGCATGTAAGTATTACTAGTACATTAAGTAGATTTTTTTTTTTTTTTTTTTTTTTTTTTTTTTTTTTTGTACAGGGGATTGAACTCAGGACTTCATGCTTGCGAGGCAGACGGCAGTACCACTGAGCTAAATCCCCGGCTTAAGTAGATTTTTTAAAATAATGAATTTAAAATTGTTTTTACTTTCCAGAACAAATCTCTTACAAAGCTGTTTGCTTATTATATCACACTAGAAAAACTAATCAATATCAAGACTTCCTGAGTGGTTTCTTGCTATTACTCTCTTTGTACTACTTCTTGCCTGTCTTTTTTGAAATTTTCAAAGACTTTTTTTTTTTTTTTTTTTTTTTTTTTTTTTTTTTTTTGATGGTGTCTCTACTATGTAGTTGAGACTGACCTGGAACTCACTATTTAGCCCAGGCTGGTCTTGAACTCACAGTAGTCCTCCTGCCTCAGCCTCCTGAGTGCTGGGATTACAGGCGTGCGCCACCACGCCCGGCGTTTTGTTTTGCTTTTTTTTTTTTTTTTCCAAAGTCTTATCTGGTGGATTGAGTTTTTGCATCCTAATTTGATTGACCCTGATGAAGTTTTATTTTATTTAGGTTCTAAAATGGTAACTAGATTGTATATATTTCATTTATCTTTTTTTTCATATATATTTTATTTATTTATTTTTTTAATTTAAATTGAATTTATTGGTACATTCTATGTAGACAGTACAGTTACATTCACTACAATTTATCTTTAATTAATTAAAGCCACAGGAATCTAGTTGCATTAGTCAGTGTTGCTGGCTGCAGTGACAGAAAATAATTTGAAGTAGCTTAAGCAAAATGGAGAAGTACATTATAAGGATATAGTCTTGTCTTACAGGATTCAAGGACAGAAATATAACAAGACTTTGTGAGGGCCTGGGAGGAGAGTCTGGAAGGTCATCAGGCATCCAGAAATTGAGGCCCTACTTCTCTCACTATGTCACCTCAGTCTTATTTCCCAAACTAGATGTACATTCTCTGCTTTATTACTTGGAAGTGTTTTTACTGGCACATGTGTGGTGATGTGCACATTACCCGGTCAGCCATAGCAACATGTTTGCTGAGATTTCAAGCCTGTAAAGTATGTATACTTCCCTGATAGCCACCATGGGCTGAGTCATGCCCTGAAGGATTCTTGTTCTCTGGTTACCTCAGAATTTATGTTCTGAGGTTTCTTTCTATTTTCAAGTTGCAGGCTAGTGAAACTCTGAGAAACAGCACTCATAGTAGCACAGCTGCTGATTTACTACAAGCCAAACAACAGATCCTGACTCATCAGCAGCAGCTAGAAGAACAAGACCATCTACTAGAAGACTATCAGAAAAAGAAAGAAGATTTCAAAATGCAAATCAATTTCTTAGAAGAAAAAATTAAAGTATTTGAAATGGTATGTGTATTTTAAGTCAACCAACTTGTTTGTAGCAGCTTTTAACTTTAAAGGTTTTATATAGGTGCTGATCACAAAATTTCATGATACTGACTCTAAGTGTAATTTATTTCAAAAACAACTGAAAATCTCAAGTAATACAGTTTTTAAGATAATACTATTAATTATTGTATTTCTTAAAAGTGATCAGCATGGGCGGAGAATTTAGCTCAGTGTCACCTGCCTCACAAGCGCAAGGTCCTGAGTTTGCTCTCCAGTACCAAAAAAAAAAAAAAAAAAAAAAAAGTGATCAGCATATATTAAACTGAATACTGTGGAGAGACAAAATTAATAACAAGAATTTCTGTCCTCCTTCCCCACGTAAAAGTATTTCCACTTAATTTTTGCCATGATTATGAAATTCTAAAAGTTTTACAGGTTTTTATTAGAATAAATGCAGTTTTTTCTTTATTAATTTAGGGGAGCTTACTTTTCAAATAAGTGCTCATAAGAGGGGAAATAAATAACACATAGATTATAGTCTTAGATCCTAAAAGTAATTCATCCTGGTAGATTGTATTTTTTTTTGTTTTTCAATAGAGAAGTTAAACTTTAGAAGTGATTAGCCTGAGGCTGCCACACTAACAGATACCAGAGTTAGTATTTAAGCCCTATCCAACTGGCCTGGTGTCAGAGCTGCTTGTCCTCTACCTTCTCCATCCTGTGGTCCTCTCCCTATGAGAGCTGAAACAAAGCAGGGTATGATCACCTTGTTTGACCTCAGCTGAAATCATGTGTACAGCAACTCAAATGTTTTACCACTGTGTACATACCTGTCAATGAGTATGAAAGCACCATCAATATTTCTTTGAAGGTTACAAATAAATTTTAGGAAGTAGGCAAATTTGTAAATATAAAACTCAATAATGAAAATAGTATATGCTGTACAGTACATTTTATAAACTTAGGAAGTTCTTCTACAAGAAGCTGGGAAATTACCAAGATGATAGCATTGTTTGGATAATAAAAGTATTAACTAGTATTTATAAAGTACTCCACAACAGGTAGCATTCACAGCATGTTACACATATTAATGTATTGAGTCATCACTAAAATCCTATGAGATAGAAGTGCTACCCTCCTTTTCCAAAATAAGACATAGCCAGAAAATGATCAGCCTAGAAAACTAGAGATCAGGAATGCCAGCCCCAGTTAGCCTGTCTTGGCCTTACCTGCCTTACAGTGGAGCTATCGAGCAAGAGAACAGTGGTAGCATATAAGGCTGGGATAGGTAGATTGGGGCTGGCATTTTTGGTCTCTAGTTTTCAGGGCTGATTATTGCCCGACAAGGGGAAACAGTATTATTACCTCCATTTTACACAAGAACACAAATTCAAAGCAAGAGATAGAACATTGCATAGGTACACAGATAATAAGTTTACAGAGCCAGATTTCAAACCTCAGTTGACTCCTGGGGATGCTCTTTGAAAAACAGGAACTGTACAAATTGAAGACTCTGAACGAAAGAAATAAAATCCACAAAATTGATCAGAACATACATAAGTAGGTAAGTAAAATGACCTTGAGGATCCAGGAGTTTTTGGCAAATAGGACTTGTAGGCATTTGAATGAATGTGTTAACACATCTAAAGAAAGACTCTCAAAGCCTAAAGTCAAAGTCGCAGATATGTTGACAGTGTTCATTTGGGTATAGTCCAAGGAAGAAGACCAAATGGCCATCAGCCACACCTGTAAAACTTGCCTTTTTCATTATTTGTCTTTGGGACTAGAGTGGACCCTTGGCTTACAAACTCGATTGGTTCCCAAGAGCTGGTTATAACTAAATCAGTACAGCTGGGATCTGGATATTCACTTGGGTACATGCTACATATAACAAGAGGCAGATGAATCTTCTATTAACCTAATTAACCCAAGTTATTTGTATGTCGGGTTGGTTGTAACTTGAGAGGCCACTGTACTAAGATACTGAGTGAAAATTTGACCCAGACTTTAGTTTGAAATAATTATAGTAATGAATATGCCTTGGCGTGTGTCTGGGATTAGCCTTATCTGTAATTCCAAAATTGAGTCCCAAAATAAGAACTGGGGAAAAATATGTTCTCTGCTCTTAAATTTCTGAAGTTCAATCTAAAAGTTTAGGGTGGAGTTGATACACCATTAATAGTATAGTTGCCTTGGGTGTCACTTGAACTTCAGACTCTTAAACACTGCATATCTCTAAATTTCTGATTAAGAGCTCAAGAATGAAATCAAGGCAGACCCACAAGAATCTGTTTTTGTTGCTGTTGTTTTTCTTGTTTTTATTACACTTGCCTATGAACGACTGTCAAGTCACAAGAATCCATGGGAGAAACCTTGATCTATTTTTTGCTTTCTGTTTTAGAATGTCTAGAGAGTATGCAGTTCTATAACTCAAAAATACTATACTTACAATGTTGGTCAGTTAATAAGAAAAATAAAAATATGGTTTAGATGTATTTTAATTAGACTGGATTTTTGGGGGGTATTTGATTTTGTTTTGCTTTGGGATGTGCTGCTGGGGATCAGACCCAGGATCTCATATACGTTAGGCAAATCTTGAATTTAAAATTTTAGTCATAATATAGGAGAAACTTCTTCCTAAGAAGAAGTGTTTGCTCACAAGTAGTGTTGGATGTGTAAGTCCTAGGGAAACAGTGAGGAGCAGGCCCAGCAGTTTTACAAAAGTATGTAAAAGAAAAAAATTGTAAGTTTTTGTATTAAAGTTAAGCAGTAGAAGTTGCCAGATGTTAAAGATGTCATTTTTATAATTTCTTTTTTTCTTTAAAGGAGCAAGATAAAAAAGTAGAAAACTCAAATAAAAAAGAAATACAGGAAAAAGAGGCAATTATTGAAGCATTAAATACAAAAGTAATAGAAGAAGAAAGAAAAACTCTTGAGCTAAAGGATAAAATAACAGCTACTGATAAATTACTAGGAGAATTACAAGAACAGGTTGTACAAAAGAACCAAGAGATAAGAAATATAAAATTAGAGTTGACTAATTCTAAGCAAAAAGAAAGACAGTGTTCTGAGGAAATAAAACATTTAATGGGGACAGTTGAAGAACTTCAGAAGAGAAATCATAAAGATAGCCAATTTGAAATTGACACAGTGCAGAGAATGGAACAAGAAACACAAAGAAAGTTAGAACAACTTCGAGCAGAGCTAGATGAGATGTATGGGCAGCAGATAGTACAGATGAAGCAAGAATTAATAAAACAACATTTGTCACAGATACAGGAACTTAAAACACGTCAAAAAGGAGAAATGGAGACTGCTTTAAAATCATATTCAAATATTACAGTGAATGAAGATCAAGTAAAGTTAATGAATGTGGCAATAAATGAACTGAATATAAAACTACAAGATAGTAACACTCAAAAGGAAAAACTCAAGGAACAGCTAGGAGTAGTTTCAGGAGAAAAGTCTGCTTTGCAGGGACAGCTTGAAGACCTCTTTGAAGAATTGAGCTTTTTAAGGGATCAGATTCAAAGAGCTAGACAAACAATAGCTGAACAGGAAAGCAAACTGAATGAAGCACATAAGTCTCTTAGTACAGTGGAAGATTTGAAAGCTGAGATTTTTTCTGCATCCGAATCCAGGAAGGAATTAGAGTTAAAACATGAAGCTGAAGTTACAAATTACAAGATAAAACTTGAAATGTTAGAAAAAGAAAAGAATGCTGTGTTAGACAGAATGGCTGAATCACAAGAAGCTGAATTAGAGAGGCTGAGAACACAGCTCCTGTTTAGTCATGAAGAAGAACTTTCTAAACTAAAGGAAGATTTAGAAATTGAGCATCGAATAAATATTGAAAAACTTAAAAGTAACTTAGGCATTCACTATAAACAGCAGTTAGATAGCTTACAAAATGAAATGAGTCAAAAGATAGAGACAATGCAGTTTGAAAAAGACAGTTTGATAACTAAGCAGAATCAGTTAATTTTGGAAATTTCAAAGCTAAAAGATTTACAGCAGTCCCTTTTGAATTCAAAGTCAGAAGAAATGACTCTTCAAATCAGTGAACTTCAAAAAGAAATTGAAGTACTCAGACAAGAAGAAAAGGAAAAGGGTACTCTTGAACAAGAAGTTCAAGAATTACAACTTAAAACCGAATTCTTGGAGAAGCAAATGAAAGAAAAAGAGCATGATCTTCAAGAAAAATTTGTACAACTTGAAGCAGAGAATAGCATTCTTAAAGATGAGAAGAAAGCCCTTGAAGATATGTTGAAAACTTATACTCCTGCTAACCAACAAGAAAGACTGATTTTTATAGACTCCCTTAAGTCCAAATCCAAAGACTATAACTGGCAAAAAGAAATAGAAATTCTTACAGAGGAGAACAAGGACCTCAAACAACAATGTATTCAGTTAAATGAAGAGATTGAAAAGCAAAGGAATACTTTCTCATTTGCTGAAAAAAACTTTGAAGTTAACTATCAAGAGTTACAGGAAGAATATGCTTGCCTTCTCAAGGTAAAAGATGATTTAGAAGATAGTAAAAATAAACAAGAATTAGAATATGAAGGTAAACTTAAAGCACTTAATGAAAAGCTTCATTTGCAAAGAATAAATCCAGATATGGTGAAAGTGAAAAGTTCCATCTTTAATGTTGATAACACTTTTGTAACAGAGCCAGTGGAAATTGGTGAGGTTGTTGAAAAAGATACAACAGAACTTATGGAAAAACTTGAGGTAACCAAGCGAGAAAAATTAGAACTTACAGAAAAGCTATTGACTCTCTCTGAACAATTAAAACGGAAACATGGCGAGGTTACTTTAATGAATGAGGAAGTTAAATCTCTAAAGCAGGAGAAGGAACAACTTTTATTGAGATGTAGAGAGCTAGAAGTCACGATTAACCATAATGCAGAAAAGGTAAATGAGTGTGATGTTAAAGTAAAAGATGGAGTTGTGACAAGGACAGGCAAGTATTCTGGAGGATCAGTTTTTGAAGTAAGTGAAGATTTTGATGAAGAATCAAAAATACTGTTGAAAGATAAAATCCCTTTTGAAAATATGACTAGTAGAAAAGAAAGCAAGCAAGAACAGTTGTTTTTGTCATCAGTAATAAGTGAATCATGGCTTGAGACGTCTGAACCAAATGAAAATGGTAGACTCCAGCAGGAGCTTCATATACTTAAAGCAGAACAGGTATGTGTGCTTATTTATACATGATAAAACACAGTATAAATGCACTTTTCACACTAAAAAGTTTTCACCTTCATACAAGATAAATTCATATCATTACAAGAGAATAGAAGTTAACCCTCTCAGTCAGTTCTTAGTTGGGTCTCATTTACTGTTTAACAGTCTTAAATGTTGGTTCCTTTCTTAGTTTTCTGTTGTGTATTCAGCTCAGGAAATTAAAAAACTACCCATCTTTTCACATTTTCTTTGTAAAGATGAGATTAACTTGGTTGAGAATTGCAGCTTTATAAAAATTAGCTTTATAGTATTTTGCTGTAAACACAAAAAGATTGGTTTTAGAGTTTTTATTTCATAGTGGTCTTTTCAAGGTTCTACATTGTAAATGAATTGGTAAGCTTTTTAGTACTCTGTACAATTGTTCAGTACTTATGAAATTATATTTCCCATGGGTGAAGAAAACTTTATGTCCTACAGATTTCTGGATCTTAGTATCCTGAAAGGAAAAAGTATTAATACTTAGAATTGTTTTCAGAACTATAATGGGTGGTAATTACTCCTAAAAATGTCAGATACTATTTAAATTTTATTTAAAAAGCATTATTGGGAGAAGAACTGAACTTGAATTTGAATCTCAACTATCAAAAGGTCCAATTTCCTTAGTAAGAATTTTATTTTCTCTATTAATGATACTTTCAGTGACTTGTTCAGCTACCCTCTTCTTGACGTTGACTATTCAGTAATTCCCTGACTTATGAACGAGTTTGTTCCAGGAGAATGTTCATAAGTCAGATTTATTTGCAGTCCAACAAAGTGAATCTTTTACAGTACATCTGTGGCTCTTATGCAGTACACCTGTGAAAGTTCACAATTCAAATGTTTTTAAGTCAGGAACTTACTATATTATGAAAAACAAGCCTGTAAACTATCCCTGTCTTCATTACCATTCTTCATTACCAAAGCAAATCCCCTTATTGGTGAAGCAGTGAGTAAGGTTTTCTCTCCCTCTTCCTCTCCCTCTCTCTCCCCCTCCTTCTGTGTGTGTGTGTGTGTGTGTGTGTGTGCGCGCGTGTGTGCGCGCACACGCGCGCGCATGTGCAAAAGGAAAATTCACAGAGGAAATCAGATAGTGACTTACACAAAGGTAATACCTAAGAACATCCTAAATATATTTAGAATAATACAGAGACCACAAAAAACCAAAAAAAACAACTCTTGCTCTTAGTACTAAGGAAAACATTCTCTCACTGAGATCAACATAAATGTGGCTGCTAAGAGTTTTTTTTTTTAACTGAAAAAAAAGTAATGTTTTATTATAGTTCCAGATTATTTTGATATTCTTAGAAAGTTTGGGCAGGAGGAGAAAAATTTTTTAAATCATGAAAACTTGTCAGTGTTTGGGATGCAGAGAGGGTGGAGTGGCAGGAATGTTGTAGATACTGATTAATTCTTGATGCTGCTGAAGGACTCTATAGATTTAAGTGTGTGTTCAAAATTGAAGGTAATTATTGGAATTGAAGGAGATACTGGAGCTTAAAAACTACAAAAGAAACTGCTGCAATATCATTTCCTTTACAGCATAGGCACTGCAATGCCTAAAATAATATCTGACACATGGTAGGCAGTTAGTAATTTTTGTGAATGAATGAATGGAGAAATAAAGCCCATTTAGCAACAGTGAACAGTGAAACAGCGTAGGCCCTCATGTTAAGAAAATTAGAATGGTCTGTCATTTGCTGTTTAGTATTGTTCTGACTCTTGACCATTGTAGAGACAAAAAGGAATATGGTATAAATGGAGAGAGAGATAGTTGTTGTAATTCACAGGTATAATTGAATAAGAGATTAAGAAAATCTTAGCAAATAAACTGAAGAGCCTTCATAAAAATAAAAAGCTTACCAAAATATGTATGACCAGTATAAATAAAACTAATGAAGGACATGAGTCTTGAATAAGTGAAAAGTCTCACAATTTGAGTGGGAAATTTTTTTTTTTTCAATATGGGGGATCGAACTCAGGGGCTTTGTGCTTGCGAGCCCAGCACAGTGCCACTGAGCTAAATCCCTGGCCCTGTGGCAAATTTTTAATACTGATAAATGCCAGTTAATTTCTCAATCCACAAGTGTAATTCCACTCACAATGAAGTTACTGAAATTTGACTTAATTAGTTTACAAAAAATCTAGATGAATAAATGGATAAGAGCCAAGAATATTTTTGAAAATACAGAATGTATGTAAAATGGGATGTAAAGGACCATTTTTTGTCTTATATATGCTGATTTAATAAATACTGAATATAAATAAGCTATTTGAGACAGAACAGTGTCAGACTCTACTCAAAGTAGAATGAAGGAAATAAAATGAACAGAAGTGCAAGAACTTAAAACTAAAAGGAAGAATTTTCAAGAGTTTTGAAGATTTATTATCTGAAAAGATTAATAAGTTATGGTCATGAGACAAGACTCCAAGAATGTGTTGAAAGGGGAAAACCACAACAAAATGAAGAATGAAAAAAAAGGCCTAGTCTAGGTACTGTAGAGATTTTTAAAAATCATAAATATGTACTAAAAACTGCCAATAAATCTGAAAATATAGGTAAACTATATGATATTTTGATAGAGTGTACATTACCCAAACTAACTCAAACAAATACAAAGCCCAAATAAGCCAGTGACCAGTAAAAGGTTTGAAATGATAATCAAAAGTTTTTCTTCTCACTTCTCTAATGAAAAATGCTAGACTAAGTGTGGGTTTTTCACCTATCAAGGAACAAATGTATAATTGCCTGCTAAAATAGGATTAAAGGGAAAGGGGGAAGGGGGAAAAAGAATTTAAAAAACCCAACTATTTCATTTTATGATGCTAATATTGGTATGAAGACCTGATAAGCATGGTACAAGAAAATAAAATTATAGACTGAACTCAATTTTCAATCTGGTTGCAGAAATCCTAAATAAAATATTTGCAAAGTATCCCCAGAGTGGAAAAATAGTTCACCATCTAAAAAACAAAATCTATTAATGTAATATCCACATTTATACATTGTAGGACAAAATCCATATGACTATTTTAATACGGTGTATTTTGGAAGAGAATCCATAAAAAGTTAACTTATAATTTTCAAAACTGGAAGTCAGGAATGGATGGGGAATTTCCTAACCATGATGATGGCTTTTATTAAAAGATTTAGCAGCTAACATTTCTAATGATGTAATTTACAAGTATTCCCATTAAAATCTAGAATAGTAGTAGTCGGACCACTGTCAACATTGCTATTTCAGCATTGTTTTGTAGCTCTTAGCTAGTACTGGTTAAAAAATGGGAAAATACAAACAGATTAGGCTTTAATTGCAACTCCTAATATATTAAACTTTTATTAAGAAAACTGCAAAACATTGAAGGACACACCAAGATATGTCATGTAAAGGTACAAGAGCCCAATGATGAATGTAATTGCATTATATACCTAACATGTACCAATAAAATTTTAAAAATTGAAAGACACAAAGACCTAACCATATGGAAATATTTATTATATCAGTTGTGGAAAGATGAAAAGAATGTCAGTCTTCTCCGAGTTAGTTTTTGTGCTCAGTGTATATCCAGTCAAAATTACATGAATACTTTTCATGGATTTTGAAATTGACATAGAGTGGTTTTGTCTCACCTCATGCCCACCTTGTAAATTTCTACTGGGTCTTATAGTTTTGTCCTACTCTCTACCCACCTCACCACATGGTTTTGCTGTATAAAACATCTTTGAAAAGTGGGGTGGATGGGCAACCCACTTTCTGGTTCCCTTTCTGTCTCTTAGAAGCTATCTTTCTCTCAATAGATAGTCCTACTCTTAAAAATATTTATTCTATCTGATAACAAGATTTAATGCTGGGCCGGGGATTTAGCCCAGTTGTGCCACTGCGTGCCTTGAAAGCCAAAGGTCCCAAGTTCGATCCCCAGTACCAAAAAAAAATAAAGATTTAATGCAAAATTATAATACACTATATGATTTGGTTCTGTGATAGAGAAATAGGTCAGTGCAACCTGGAAAGTCTTAAAAACAGATCAAGATTCTTACACAATTTTGATATGTGGCAAAGGTCCCCTACAAATCAGAATTTATTGAATAATATTTAATGAGACTTTACTACATTCCAGTCACTGTTTTAGGTACTGATAATGTAATAGTGAATAAAATAAGTAATAAAGTATAAAACTTACATTGTAGAGTGTTTAGAGGTGGCAATAAATGCTTTGAAGGAAATTAAAGTGTTCCCATTATAAATGTAATCATTATACAAAATATATATGCAAACATATAGTAAAAAAAAAAATGAAGTATGATGAGGGTGAAAAGATGTCCTAGAAATGAGTGTGAGTACTTTATAAGTTAAGTAAGGGAAGACTACTCTGGTGAAGTGATACTTTAGTATTCAGTAGTTACTTTTGGGAAGTCAGCTTTTGATATTAGGGATGAGAAGTTAGGGAATTAGATCCTTATCCTTTAGGAAAAAATAACCCTGGGTTAGTTAAAAACATACACAATTAAAATAAATTAATAGGATCTTGAGCTAGAGAAGGGCTTTCAATAAAGAAAGGATGGGAAAGATTTAAAAGTTTGATTATTATACAAACAATCCTAATAAATAGGCTTAAATAATGGGACTGTGTATTTGCCATATATATGGCAAATAATATCAAGATGTAAAGAAAGGATGAAAATAAAATGAAAAGGTGTAAAATAAACAAAATATAGGAATAAATGTGTCTTGGAGTAAGAAACCAAACTGGCCAATAAGCATAGAAAGATACTTTGAACTTTATATATTGATACAACAATAAAATAGCCTTTTATACCCTGTAGATAACAATTAAACTGTATAATTATGTAAAAATAATTTGGTAAAATCTAATATAGGTAAAAATGTGCAGTGTCTCTGACCCAGCAGTTAGATTTCTAGGTGATCCTCAAAGAATAATCCCTGACCAGTAGGATCAACATCACATCACATCACAGGCTGGAGTTCACATTTGTGGCCCCACTTCAGACCTCCTGGATTGAGTTCTGGGGTGGTGTGCTTATAAACATTCAGGTGATTCTCATGTGTGCTAAAGTTGAAATTCACTGCATTGGAACACTAGCACATTTTTGTCTAGTATGATGTACATATAAGAATTTACTGCAGTATTTTCTGAAATATCCAAAAATCAGAAATAATCTAGTTCTCCAGAAAGGAAATTACAAATTATGGCATACTCATATATGCTATACCAGTTAAATAAGTGAAAATAAGTGACATGATTTGATATCAGAGACATATTGAATGAGAAAACAAATTTGCAAAGTGCCATATTGAACCAGCCTTGTAAATCCATAAAAATATACAATATAATACTTTATTTACATATTTATTGAGAGGTGATAGTATAAGAAGTAGATAGAATTGGTCCTAGATTTGTGATTGTGGTTGCCTGTGTAGAAGGAGTAATAAGAACATAGTGTGGTGAATTTTGTCTGTGTTTTCTTTCTAAACCAAAACAGTTGTATAGGGAATAGGGGGATGGGAAAAAAAAGGACAAAATGTTAGTGTGTGTTAACTGGTGTTGTGAGTGTCTAAGTGTTTATTACATTATTCTTTATATTTCTCTGCATCTAACATATTATCTTAACACTAAAATCAGAGCTATCACAGTAAGCTCTGATCATTTGTTATCAAGTATCAGAATTTACTGTGCAATTTAGGTAATGAAAATATTGTGCTACTTTCTTTAAAAAAGACAGGTGGATCAGTGCAACTGGATGAAGAATAAGGAAAGAAAGGTTTTGATTCTCTTATGAATTTTTAAACTATAATATATTTCTTGTTAGTATATGCTAAACTGAAGTTATATTATTTTGTTATTTTAAAAATTTCTAATGTTTATATACATTCATCTGAAGAATGACTTAAGGCTACAGATGGAAGCCCAGCGCATATGCCTTTCCCTGGTTTATTCAGTGCATGTGGATCAGGTCCGTGAATATATGGAAAATGAAAAAGATAAAGCTCTTTGCATCCTTAAAGAAGAGCTTATTTCTGCTCAAGAGGAAAAGATCAAAGAACTTCAGAAAATACACCAGTTAGAGCTACAAAACATGAAAACACAAGAAACAGGTAAATATTTCCTACTTAATGAATCCTATGAAACAAATGACAATCAGAGCTCACTATTTCATAATTCAACTCACATTGAGAGTAGAACAGAAGACATTGGATTGTACAACATGTAGAAAACATGAATCTCTGTATTTTATTTTTTGGGGTGCTGAGAATCAAAGCCAGGCTTTGATTTTGGCATGCTTAAAACCTGTAGGAGAAGGTGGCTCAGACATTTATTGAATATTCATTTACAAAACTTGAAAAACTTGAAGACACTTGAGAAAACTAAAATTGCTGAATCATTTTCCCATACGAAGTCACAATCCATTGGGGAAAGCATTTATAAAGTAAACTGAAATTTCTGAAATACAAAAATGAATAGAAGGAGAAAGGACAAAAATGTAGTGTTTTCTAGGAGGATGGAATGGAATGAGGCTGTGGAGCAATTGGGTTGAAAATTTAGGGCAGACTCAAGTCAAGCATTAAATTATGGTCAGGTCATTTGAGAAAGTAGGGATGATGAGATTGACAAGAGTTTGATGGGAAAGAGCTTTATGTACTCCAGATGAGCACCTGCTACAGGATTTTGTTTTTTTGTTTTTTTTTTTTTCTTCTGTTTTTGAGATAGGATCTTGCTATTTGGCTCAGGTTGGTCTTTCTGAACTCACTATGTACTCCAGACTGGATTTGTGGCAATCCTTCTGCCTCAGCTTCCCAAGTGTTACTGGGATTACATGCATGTGCTATTTCACATGCGGGGATTTTAAATAGTTGAAGTAACAGCAGGACTTCTTTGGTTTTTTTAAGATGACACCATTGGGATAAATTGGATGAGATGAGCTTATTGCTGGGAAGCTAGTTAAGCAACCTTGGCAGTATTTCTGATAAACAAGATATTGAACTAGATATAGTTGAGTATAAAAAGTTAAGTTCAAGTGTTAAAAATAAGCTGTAGTTAGTAGTTAATCATAATAGTAAAAATAGAAGGAATCAAGAATGATCCCTAAATTCCTGGATTAAGTGTGGTTCCAGTCACAAGAGATCTTTGAGAAAAAAAATGTATCCACTTTAAAGCATACTGAGATAAGAATACTTCCTGGCTTTGAGAAAGAAATACCCAGTAATCAGTTAAAAATAGAAGTCTGAAACAGAGAGATTTAGGCTCAAGATAAAGATGTAGAATAATAAACATGGTTGTCAAAGAGACCCTGAGACCATGGACAAGAATTGAGACAGCTGGGAAGACTGGCGAGTAAGCTCAGACTTAAGACGGCACTGTGGGAAGTAGCATCATTTCAGGAACAATAAATGTAAAGAGAAACCTATTTGTGGACTGGTTGCAGTTGACTTTAATAATTAGTGAAGTCAGCTTCCTGTGTGGAAGGTATCTGTAGGCCTCTACTTTTGCCTGTACGAATAAGTTCACTTGTAATGTTTTCAGCAGAAATCTTTGTTGAGCAGAGTAGAATTTCAAGAGACTTAAGTAAGAATACCATAATTGCTTTTTGGTTTTGAATTCAAGTAAGGTTTTTAATTATTGTTTTTCTTGATAATGTCTTCAAACCATCTGTCCAGTTTTTTCCAGCTTGCAAATTAATTAGTGATTATTAATGAGTAATGTGAGAATATTTAAAAAATAGTAAAGTAGAACAGAAGAGTTCAGAGGTAGATTTTTGTATTTTCTATTTTGAATTGCTGAGAATTGAACCAGGGCTTTTGACATGCCATGCAAGCACTCTCCACTGAGCTGGACCCCACCCTGAAAGAAATACTGATTTATGATATTTTGTTTAAGTTTTGTATACATCTGTATAATAATGGCATATATTTGTATTGAGTGACAGTAAAAAAGTTAGTGCTTTATACCATTTTGTAGAATAGAAATCTTTAAATCTTCCAGATTACTAAGACAGTTAACATTAAACACTGGATACTAACTTAGAAAGAAATAAGGAATTTAAAACCAGTCTTATTGCAGGAATGCTTCCAATTAAGACACAGGTTAAATAAATGGTATAGTACTCAAACACATAAATTAAATGTAATGTATCATCTATTCCAGTGGTGCTGAACCTATGGCATGCATGTTGTTTTTCTTTTAAGACAAAAGATGTTAATGTGTTAGATTTTTCTAAAATAAAACCTCAATATTCAAGTTTAATTGCAGTGTGTTGGCACTTTGCAGTAAATAAATGGGTTTTGGGTTTCAGATTGGGCCCTCATCTCTTAAAGGTTTGCCATCACCGATTGATCCTATTAGGTAACACTCAAGAATAGTGGTCAGATGCCCTAAAGCCTCCTCTCCTCTTTTAGGTAATGAAGCAAGGCCTTTACACATACTTATTGGAAGACTGCAGAAGGCGGTGTCTGAAGAATGTTCTGATATGTCAAAGGTAAGATATGAGTTAAGTGGTTTTGAATAAGAGGTGCTAAATTTTAAGTTGGCTAGTAATTTGATGAGCAGAATCATCCAGCCTAGTTTTCCTGTCCTTGAGAACTACACTTAGAAAGTATTACTGAATATTGGGGGTTTGTTATGTATGTGGGGGGCTGGTTATTGAGAATTGAACTCAGGCAGCACACATGCTAGGCAAGTATTCTACCGCTGAGCTGTCTATATCCTTAGTCCCCATTTTTGAACTTAAAATGAGCATTAAAATTTTCTTGATAGTTTATAGCAACAACAAAAACTTCAGGGCTTGGGATGTCTCAGTAGTAGATTGCTTGCTTACTATGTTTGAAGCCCTAAGTTTGTTCCCCAGCATTGCAAAGGAAAAAAAGAAAGATAAAGAAACTCAGATGAATTATCTCACCAGTACAACAGACACTAATCATTCACGTAGCCATGAAGGACCTACTTAATTTCTCTGGGCACAGATTTTTATGTCTATAAATTGTTTCTAAAACCAACTCTTTTAAAAAAAAATTTAAATTTAATTTATTGGTACATTCTAGGTAGACAGTACAGTTACATTCATTACTGAGATCTTGTACCTTTACATGCCAGGTCTTGGCTCTCATTTTTTC